GGCGATGGAGATTCAGCACAGACTGCATGAGTGCCGGAGCTGTGCCAACCACACCACCCCATGCCCCGGTGAGCTCGCCCCAACTACCCCAGGCCTCTTCTCCTGTCCACCCCATCCCTTCCTTCAGAACTCACACCCTCTTGGGGTCACACACAGAGGGGGTGGGGCTGCAACCAAGAATAGGCAGAGGAGGGTCTCCCCAGGTGGAAAGGGCACACCCACCAGGCTTGGGCACACAGCACCTGCAAAGGCAGGAGGGCTGGCACAGTCTGGGCTCATCTGGTGAACAGTGAGCCGTTTATGGCTGCTGAAATAGACCCTTCCCAAGTAACTCACAGGGCAAAGAACCTGCCGGCAATGCGGGAGACCTGGGTTTGACCCCTGGGTGGGGACGATTTCCTGGAGGAGGGCATGGCAACCCACTGCAGTATTCTTGCCTGGAGTATCCCATGGACAGAGAAGCCTGATGGGCTAGACCATGAGGTCGCAAGGAGTCGGAAACTGAGCGATTAACACACACACAGTACTGGGCAGGGTGGTGGTGGGGTGGTTTGGGGTGCTCCCTGAGGCGGGGAGAGGGCTCAGGCCCAGCCTGGAGTGGAGAAGAGGGGAAGGGTGGCCGTGAGTGAGGCTCAGAGGTGTGTTTCTCAGCAGCACCTGGGCGTCCCAGGCCTCAAGCCCCCCTCCTGCAGGATTCACCTGAGCCAGGTGAGGTTGCAAAGGCTTGGGGTGTGGGGGGGAGGGGAGCAGGGCTGAGCTCAGGGTGGACCCTGGAGGGGTCTCGATGGTTAGGACGACCAGGACTTGTGCTTCCTGACTTGTGCCCCTTCGGCCTTTCCAGGGCCTTGTGGCGAGAGGCTCCCGGGCGACGTCAACGTGACGCGGGCGCACGGCCGCATTGTGGGGGGCAGCGCGGCACCGCCGGGGGCCTGGCCCTGGCTGGTGAGGCTGCAGCTCGGCGGGCAGCCTCTGTGCGGCGGCGTCCTGGTGGCCGCGTCCTGGGTGCTCACGGCGGCGCACTGCTTCGCGGGGTACTTCGGATCCCCGGGCCCGGGATTCCCAGCGCGGGCCTCCAACTCTTCCCGGCTCGTCGGCTTGGGGCGCCGCGCGCGAGGCGCGGTCTCTGCTGCCCCCTGGCGGCGGCCGTCCCCTTCCCCGGCTCGAAGTCTCCCCCGGACGCACCGTCCGCGGCCTCCGGCTCTCTGGGGGGGACGTGGGCTGAGGGCAGGGTCTCCAAGGGGAAAGTTTATCGCATTCCTATCCTGCGTGTCTCGCGCCGCAGCGCCCCGAACGAGCTTCTGTGGACCGTGACGCTGGCCGAGGGACCCCGGGGGGAACCGGCGGGGGAGGTGCAGGTGAACCGCATCGTGCCCCATCCGAAGGTGAGAGGGCAGCCCCCAGGCCCTCAGACTTGGGAACAGCACCCCCAGCCCACGCCTCGTTGACACGGCGCCGCCACCCCCTCCCCAGTTTGACCCTCGGACCTTCCACAACGACCTGGCCCTGGTGCAGCTGTGGACGCCGGTGAGCCCAACAGGGGCGGCGCGCCCCGTGTGCCTGCCCCGGGAGCCCCAGGAGCCCCCCGCAGGCACTCCTTGCGCCATCGCGGGCTGGGGTGCCCTCTTCGAAGGTACTAGGCAGGACGGGGCCTGGGTGAGCCGCGCGGGGGCGTGGGGGAAATGGGGGTCTGGAGTGATGAAGCTTGGGAAGGCTGGGGTGAAAGGATTCTGACCTATGCCCAGCTATCTTTGCAAAATGATGCCCACCTCACCAAGTGGGGAAGAATCAAGGAGGGCGGTGGGAAGGGGGAACCCTAAAACAGGACCCCTGCCGTCCAGGCCTGAGCCCCTTCCACGGCTTCCCTTAGATGGGCCAGAGGCCGAGGCGGTGAGGGAGGCCCGTGTGCCCCTGCTCAGCGCCGACACCTGCAGGAGGGCCCTAGGACCAGGGCTACGCCCCAGCAGCATGCTTTGTGCGGGCTACCTGGCCGGGGGCATCGATTCGTGCCAGGTATGAGCCCTGCCAGATCGGAGGGTGGTAGTGGGCCACTCCCCGGCGGCGGGACTGCCTCCTTTCCTTCTACAATCAGGCTGTCACTCAACTTCTCTGCACCTCTGTGTCCTCATCGCTAAAATGGGTACAAGTGTGGTAACCCCAGTAGAGTTCAGAGCTGCCTGACCCTACCAGGCATAAGGGTGTCATTTGGGGGGGGGGGGGCGGGTGCGATGAGGTGGTTCCATCCAGTGACCTCTCTCTTGCCTCTCTCTCTTGGTCCTTGCAGGGAGACTCGGGAGGCCCCCTGACCTGTTCTGAGCCCGGCCCCCGCCCCAAGGAGGTCCTGTACGGAGTCACCTCCTGGGGGGACGGATGCGGGGAGCCAGGGAAGCCTGGGGTCTACACCCGTGTGGCTGTGTTCAAGGACTGGCTCCAGGAGCAGATGAGCGGTGAGCACCTTTCCCCCCACCCCCACCCCTTGCCCAGAGTGCCCCATAACTGCCCTGGGACGAGCCCATTTCCATCCCACCGGCCCCCAGGCTCCTGCGTGGAGAAAGCTTATTTTCCTCCCGGGAGGGATTTGCGGGGCTAGGACTTAAAGCGGGGGAGAGGTGGTAAACTAATCCCTGACGCCCCCCGGCAGCCTCTCCTTTCAGCCGCGAGCCCAGCTGCAGGGAGCTTCTGGCTTGGGACCCGTCGGAGGAACCGCAGACAGAGGCCGCCCCACCCTGCGCTTTCTACGCCCACCTATGCCTGGGGCCCGCGGGCGCCTGTACGCGTCTGGCGCACCAGCAGTGTCTGCAGCGCCGGCGGCGATGTGGTCAGTCCGGTTCCCGGGGCTGGGCCGGGAGGGCCCCAGGGTCTGGCCCACGTCTGACCGCCGCTCGGACCCTCGTCCCGCCCGCAGAGCTGCGCTCGCTGGCGCACACCCTCCTGGAGCTGCTGCGAGGGGCCCAGGAGCTGTTCGGCCCGCGCCCGGGGGTGCGTCGCCTGGCACCGGCCCCGGCTCGCCCCGCTCCGTCGCTCCGGGATCCTCCCAGGCACCCCTCCCGGGAGCAGCGGCTGCACTCAGGTACTCCAAGCCGTTCGCAGCCCAGCCCCAGCCCACCCCAGCGCGGCCGCGCCATTCCCCTAACCCTGCGTCTCCCTAGGATCGCCTCCCCGGGCTGCGGGCGCTCGGTTCCCTAAGCAAAGGTCGGAGCGGCGCGGGGAAGTGAATGGTAATGACGCCCTCTACCGGCGGCCGCCAGGGGAGCCGGCCAAAGGAGGCCGTGTCCAGGAGGGGACTCTCGCGGTTGTCTGTGCTGGGATGCAGTTTCACCCCATCTGGCAGCGGTCAGACCCGCTCTCGCCCTCCCTCGCAGCAGGGCGCATGATTCTTTGTTGCGGGGTGGGGGGGGGGTGTTGTGGAACTTGTGATTTGGGGCCCGCTCCAGTGTCCACAGAGGCTGGGCTTTGTGTTACCATTTAACCCCTCTGAACTTCGGCTGCCCCATCCCAGCATGTGGAGGTCTGCCCACTGGGAGGTGTCCCGAGGTTCTGGTGGGAATATCACCCCGACTCCATACTAGCGTCAGTTCTCTCCTATTCCTGAGGTCTCTCCTCTTCCTGCAGGCTGCCCTGGGCTGGAGCCCCTGCGGCAGAAGCTGGCCACCCTCCAGGGCACCCACGCCTGGATCTTGCAGGTGCCCCCGGAGCACCTGGCCATGGACTTTAACGAGGTGGGTCCCCAGGCTTCCCAGACTCCTTCACAGTGGCCTGGAAAGGCTAACCTGGGTCAGCCCTGCTGGGGAGGGGGAACAGAAAGGACCCTCCCCCAACAACCACAGGTGGGGGGATGGCTATGGGGAGGGCAGCTGAATGTGAGCTGGGTGCTGGGTGGTGTGAAGGAGTGGAGAGGAGTTGTGAGTGGAATGTGGGCATGTCCAAGTGAGCAGGAAATGTGCTGGATTAGTGGGAGGGGCTGGGGACAGGGTAGCTCTGCCTTTGAGTTTCTGGGCCAAGAAGGAGGGGGACCAGGAGTGGGGTTGCGGGCCCCTGAGCTGTCTGCCTTCCCTTTCTGCAGGTCCTGGCAGATCTGGGCTCCAAGACACTGACTGGGCTCTTCCGAGCCTGGGTTTGGGCAGGCTTGGGGGGCCGGCACGTGGTCTTCGGTGGCCTGGTGGGTCTGGAACCAGCCACGCTGGCCCGAAGCCTTCCCCGGCTGCTGCTGCAGGCCCTGCAGGCCTTCCGCCTGGCAGCCCTGGCGGAGGCAGAGCCCGAGCCCGAGGGAGCCCGCAAGGGTTCAAGGCAGGGCCGAGGGCTGGGGAGGAAGGGGCGCCACCCACTCAGCCCTCACGTGCCCCCAGCCAGGTGGCCCTGAGCCGGGTCTCCTCTCCACCCACTGTCTCCCCCACCCCCATCAGGACCGCTGCTCCAGGGCCTGGGAGGGGATCAAGGAGCACGATGACAAACCGTCACTGCCAGAGTGGGGTGGGGGCAGGAGGTTAGGGCTCCATGTGTCTTCTCAGATGCACCACCAGAAAATCACAGCTGCTTTAATAAACATTATTTATGATCCACAAAGACCATTCTAGAGCTTCTTTAGGGTGGGAGTGGGGTGGGTGGACACTGGGGCTCGAGGGTTAGGTCCCAGCCTCCAGATTCAGCTGATAGAGGTCACAAAGACACTGGAGGAAGGCTGCAAAGCCCCCATCTCAGGATATCGGTCTGCCTCCCAAGAAATGGCAGCAGCCGACCTGCTTGTCCCTGCTGCCCTGTTCCGTGGCTGCCCAGCGCTGCCCCCAGCCTTCAGCCTCTCCGCCCAGCTCCGACCCTCACCGGTAGCTGTGGGGAGTCCCTCTGCCTTAGGTCCCCCGGCTCCTGCCCCGGCCGGCCAGTCCCTGTCCCCACCCCCTCATCACCTGCCCCAGTTTCTCTGCCCTGCCAGAGAGCCTAGAGGTGTCAGATTGCATTTCCGGCTGCCTCTTTCCTTTGCCCTCCCCTCTACACCCCCACCCTGCACCTGTCCACTTGGAACCCACCCACACTCCCCAGCCCTGCTGACCGGAGGACAGACCCAAGACCCAGTCAGAGGAACAGGATGGAAGGGCCCGTGTTAATGCTGGGGCTGCTGGCTGCCCTGGTTGTGTGCGGTAAGAATGGCCATCACCCTCCCCAAAGGGTCCCCAGTGCATGGTCTCCTCCCTCCTCCTCTGGCCCGGGACACCCTCTCCCAGCATCAGGCCCACCTCCCCACTCCCACGGCCATTTTTTCCCTGGAGGGGCCGGCACCCTGGATCCCACTGCATGCCCAGCAGGACCTCAGGGCAGCGTCCTCCCTGGGCCCCTGTCCCCCACCCTCCCCAGGCAGCTGGGGCTTGAACGAGGAGGAACGGCTGATCCGGCACCTGTTTGAGGAGAAGGCCTACAACAAGGAACTGCGGCCCGCAGCGCACAAAGAGGAGCGCGTGGAGATCTCCCTGGCTCTCACCCTCTCCAACCTCATCTCTCTGGTGAGGGGCCCCTCCTGGCTGGTGGGGGAAGGGCGGCAGCCACCACTTCCCGGAGGTCCGGCTGGGATGGCCCTGAGGAGGAAGGTCAAGGCCCCAGCCCCAGCTCCTGTAGGTCCTCTCCCAAGGAAGTGCACTCAGGCCCTCTCCACTCCCCATGCTGCCTGCAGACCTCAGGTGTTGCCCCTTCCACTCCAGCTTCAGTTCTGGGTTCTCCCCCCCCACCCCATTTTGCACCCATGACACATTCAAGAGGCCATGTGCCCTCCCTGCTTCTTGATCTGTCCATCCACTCCTGACTGCTGGGGACAGGTCATCGTCGTGGTCTCCCCCCGGGTGGGAGCTGGGAGAAGGCACCTGGGGAATGTGTACCGGCCTCTGGGGCACCAGCTTCCTGTTTGATTACAGAAAGAAGTTGAAGAGACCCTCACCACGAATGTGTGGATCGAGCAGGTAAGGAGAACACCCCATGCAGAGCCAGGGGGTCGGAGAGGATGCAGCGTCCAAATTCCCCTGTGCTCGCTTCTGCTGGGGGATCCCCAGCTTGCTTCAGACACTGTCCTCCAGGACAGACTGGGCCCTGCCTCCTGAGAAACCCCAGACCCAACTGCTCTTCTCACCAGCTAGTGCCACCACAGCCCAGATAGAGCCTTTGATGAATTAGGATCTTCTTCTCAGGGAACACTCTCTCAGCAGCTTGATTTTATTAGAAGACGCTGTCTGCTAGCTATCAGTCAATCTTCTATGTCCACTATGGAAATAGTCCTCCCTTAGTTGTGCAGTGCACATCCTACACAGCTGTACATGACAGACCTGAGTCCCACTCTGTACCCACCTCCCCCAACCTCTTTTGTTCCAGCCCCAGATCCTGTCGAGTCTTCCCCCGCAGGGAAGTGGTCAGCACAAGGTGTAGGGGGGAAGTGGGGGACCCCAGACAACAGCAGAGCCCACTGCTGACATTACTTTTGGGCTTCCAGGGCTGGACAGACAGCCGGCTGCAATGGGATGCTGAAGACTTTGGGAACATCAGCGTCCTGCGCCTGCCTGCTGACATGGTGTGGCTCCCAGAGATTGTGCTGGAGAACAAGTTGAGACTCCCACCTCTGCCTCCCCCAACCCTGGCCAGCACTCACTGTGGCCCTTGTCCGTGTCTCCCAGCAATGATGGCTCCTTCCAGATCTCCTACTCCTGCAACGTGCTCATCTACCCCTCGGGCTCTGTCTACTGGCTGCCGCCTGCCATCTTCCGCTCTTCCTGCCCCATCTCGGTCACCTACTTCCCCTTCGACTGGCAGAACTGCTCCCTGAAGTTCAGGTGCCCCCACTTCTCTGACCGCCCCTCCCCACCAGGGCATCCTGCCAGGGGCCGAGGGAGGCAAACACCGCCCCCAGCCAAGCAGAGGCCCCATCCCCACCGTGACCCCAGCCAGTGGCTGAGACCCACCCTCTGCCCTCTGCCCTCACCAGTTCGCTCAAGTACACGACCAAGGAGATCACCCTGAGCCTGAAGCAGGATGAAGAAGACGGCCGCTCTTACCCCGTGGAGTGGATCATCATCGATCCCGAGGGCTTCACAGGTGCCGGGAGCAGTAGCTCCTGGGTGGCCAGGCTCCCCCGCACACCCGCCCACAGATACAGTCACAGAGCTGCACGTGTGTGTACATACACGGGGACATGGTCACACCGGTACACAAACGTGCAGGTGGACACAGACCCTTCCCGGTCTGGACAGGGTCCCTGGGGTCGATCTGGCCAACGGATGAGGGGTGTGGTCTAGTTTTCCCATCCCCAGAGGGCCCAGGGGGTGGTTGGGGCTTTGGCTGTCATCTGATGTGTGTGCCGTGTGTCTTCCACATGGTATTAATGCTGCCCCCTCCCAACGGCCCCCTCCCCCATCTGTGACCAGGCTCAGACCTTTTATGGGGCCAAACCACTTGCCCCTGTCTGTCAGAGGAGACCCACGTCCCACTCGTCCCAAGGCTGGTACATCATGGAGGGGGGTAGTGATTCCTCTGACTGCTTTGTTATTCCCCAAGGCTCTTATTTGAACCACATATGGCCTCAGCTTTTATTTCTCCCAAGGAGAAAAAAAAAATCCATCCCAGAGGAAAACTTTGCCCTTGTAGAGTGAAACATTCATCCCAAGCCCCAGGGAAAGACATCCACAAACAGAACGTGAACCCTCCTCTGTGTCCCCACCCCCCAGCCCCCTTAGGACCCTGCAGACAAAACTGGCTGAGCCCCTTGGCCGGCTCACTCACCACTTAGCCCCCCATCCTGCACCAAGCCTCTCCTTGGCCACCTTGCCTAGCCTGACCCCAAGGCGTCCACGTGTCTCCCTCAGAGAATGGGGAATGGGAGATAGTACACCGGCCAGCCAGGGTCAACGTGGACCCCAGTGCGCCACTGGACAGTCCCAACCGCCAGGACGTCACCTTCTACCTCATTATCCGCCGCAAGCCACTCTTCTACGTCATCAACATCCTGGTGCCCTGCGTGCTCATCTCTTTCATGATCAACCTGGTCTTCTACCTGCCGGCTGACTGTGAGCCCAGCGCCTGGCACCCCTCCCCACGGACCCCTGAGCTCGGCCGCCCCAGCCCTGCCCCTCTCTTTCCCCGGGAGCCACTTGGCGGGGGAGCCACCACTCCTGGGGTTCCCTGCCCAGGGTCTATGCGTGCGGAGCACGTGGCCTGTCAGCAGAAGGGCTCTGTGACCCTGTGGGACATCCCTTAAGTGGACAGGGCCCCAGGGAGTCCCATCCCTCTTGGACCTCACTCTGCCTCTCATGCTGGGCTTCTCAAAGACCCTAGGGAGAACACTAGAGTCTCCCTCCGCTGGGGAGAGATTGGCTGCGGAGCCATGGGTGGATCACAGGGTCTCTAGGAAGCCAGGGCAGGGGGCATGCGATCTATACTCAGCTGGTTCTAGAAGGTGTCATGTCACATGTCATCTGTGGTCATTTGGCTCCAGAACATTTACTATGAGCAGGGCACGGTGAGTCCCAGAGACAAATATGACCCAGCCCTGACCCTGGCAGAGGGTGGAGAATACAGGATTGGGAGTGCAGCTGGGGGTGGTGGGGTGGGAACCAGAGCCAGGCTGTGAGGCGCACTGCAGACCGAGAAGGGGCACTGGGGCGGGGCCCAGGGGTCTGTAACCACGGGGCCCACCCCACAGCGCTTCTCAGGGGCTCAGGTGGGCAGGGCAGGGCAGGGCTGGGCTGGGGTCTCTGAGCACAGGGGTGACAGGAGTGTTAGTCTGCTGTGAGGACACCCTGGGGCTTCTACACCGGGCGGGACACAGCAGATCTGTGGTCTAGGAGGGCTGAATGGCAGGGATTGGCTGACGAGGATGGCAGGTGTTCCTTGAGCCCTCACCCAGTGCCAGGCAGAGTCGGAGCATTTAAGACACACTGTCTCACTCTGTCCTCCCAACTTTTAACAGTTGAGGACTCTGAGGCACAGAGAGGTTAGGCCGCTTGTCCAAGGTCACCCAGCAATAAGGGGCAAGATGGATGGGAACCCAAGCGCTCTAGCTCCTGAGCCCTGGGCACCATAGCATTGTGGACAGTAGTGCAGGGGGCCACCGTGAGACCCTCCAGGCCCCGGGCCAGAGGTCATAACTAAGGACAGGCTCCTCCAGGTGGCGAGAAGACATCCATGGCCATCTCGGTGCTCCTGGCCCAGTCTGTCTTCCTGCTGCTCATCTCCAAGCGGCTGCCAGCCACGTCCATGGCCATCCCCCTCATCGGCAAGTGAGCGGCCCTCCCCGACCGCCCCCCACCACCCCACCCTACCAGTCCCCACCCTGGGCAGGGGCTCCAAACTGCACCTGCGCCCACAGGTTCCTGCTCTTTGGCATGGTGCTGGTGACCATGGTCGTGGTGATCTGTGTCATCGTGCTCAACATTCACTTCCGCACACCCAGCACCCACGTGCTGTCTGAGCGGGTGAAGAAGGTGAGGGCTCAGTAGCCAAGAGTTGGAGATTGTCCAGTGCCTCTCTGCAGCGGAATGAGCGAAGCGCATGCGTACACAAGCACGGGCACGCGGCGTGGTACCCGGCGGCGGTGGAGCGTATGCGCACGTGCACATGGGTTGGGGGGGGGGGTGTTGCTACCCCGGCTTCTCGACTTGCCCCAGGTTGAATGTTACCCAAACGTCAGACTTTAAAGAGACTGCAAGATTTCCTTTCTGTGAAGTTCAAGGACAGGCAAAACCAGTCTTTAGTGCTAGAAGTCTGGGTGTGGTGATTCCCTCTGGGGCTGCGTAGGAATTGATGGGGCCAGGCAGGAAAGAGGGGAGCTTCCCTGGTGGCTCAGATAAATAATCTGTGCCTGCAGTGCAGGAGATCTAGGTTCAATCTCTGGGTTGGGAAGATCCCCTGGAGGAGGGCATGGCAACCCACTCCAGTATTCTTGCCTGGAGAACGCCCTGGACTGAGGAGCCTGGTGGGTTACAGCCCATAGGGTCTCAAAGAGTCGGACAGGACTGAGCAACTCACACACACACACAGGCAGGAGGGAACATCTTAGATAAAGTTCTTATCTGAGAGGTGTTTACACAGTGAAATGCTTCTGCAGAATTTCACCTGGTTACAGGATGGTGGTTTGTTGATTCTATTGTGTATTGGTTATACCTCGATGCAAAACAAAGTGAGAACTGTGGGGGCAGGGTCCCCAGGAGGGGTGCTGTCCTTGCCTCTTGGCCTCTGCAGGGCCACCTGGTTGTTTGGGGACAGCTGATGGGGGTCGTTTAGCAACTTTTCTGGTCTTAGCTCAGCATTTGGGTCATTTTTCTGACCTTTTGTTTTTCACCTGGAATTCATTTTCAACCAATGAGTTCTTCTCTATGCTGAGTAATGAGGGAGAACTGGAAGCAACCTAAGTGTCCATCAGTAGGGGTCAGGGGGATAAATGATGGATTGGGGAACACCTTGTGGCAGCCAGGGGTGGAGCCCCAATATTTGGATGAGTGAAGTTGACCCACTTTGTATGATGGCCCCTCTGACCTGCCCAGCTCTTCCTGGAGACCCTTCCCGAGATCCTGCACATGTCCCGCCCGGCGGAGGACGGGCCCAGCCCCGGGACCCTGATCCGGAGAAGCAGTTCCCTGGGCTACATCTCAAAGGCAGAGGAGTACTTTTCACTCAAGTCCCGAAGTGACCTCATGTTTGAGAAGCAGTCAGAGCGACATGGGCTGGCTCGGCGCCTCACCACGGCACGTGAGTCTCCAGTGTCTTGGAGTTTGGCCCATCCGTGGGAGGTGGGGTAAGCGCAGGCCTCATGCACACCCTTGACCTGGTGTCCACAGGCCAGCCTCCAGCAGGCTCTGAGCAGGCCCAGCAGGAACTCTTCAACGAGCTGAAGCCAGCTGTAGATGGGGCCAACTTCATCGTCAACCACATGAAGGACCAGAACAATTACAATGAGGCGAGTAGCCATGGTGTTGCCATGTACAGGTGTTCAAGTAGTGCACTAATCAAGCATATCCTGTCTTAAGGGGGCACAGCTCCCCTCTGAGATACCTGCCAACTTAGATGAAGGAGTGAACGGTGAGTGCAGATTCCAGGCCTGTAAGGGAGGGGGAGCCCCTGCTTAAAACCTCATAGCAGTGTGTGTGGCCAGGGACACACTCAGGTATACATGCAAGCACACAGCTCTGCCCTATTGGGGCCACACTCTGGACCTCCCTTACGGTCCCTTCTTTCTCCCAGCTGCCAATCATTTTCTGTCCTTGGTCAGCTCCAAGCCTGAAACTCCAGAAAAAGCCAGACACTTAAAAGGCTGCCTTATATGATTGTTCAATATTGTACGTGTGTATATGTGCTAAGTCGCTTCAGTCATGTCCGACTGTGTGATCCTATGGGTTGTAGCCCGCCAGGCTCCTCTGTCCATAGGATTCTCCAGGCAAGAATACTGGAGTGGGCTGCCATGCCCTCCTCCAGGGGATCTTCCTGACCCAAGGATCGAACCTGGGTCTCTTAGGTCTCCTGCACTGGCAGGCAGGTCCTTTACCCCTAATGTATACAACTTGTAAAAATTTTCTCTTGAGATAGGGGTACTTTTTTCAGTTCACGTACAGGCACGTGGCAGCACCACGTGGTTGAGGGGAGGCCATGGCCCTGCTCTCTGTCTCCTGGACATTCCCGGATAACCAGCCCTGCCAGTCGCTGGGGAGCAGGGGAGCCTGGGTATTTGCTGGGGACACGCCAGCACCTCCCATCTGCTGCAAGCCCGAGGTAGCCCCCACAGCTATGCTGAGGCTGTGCATCTGTCACGGGGCCCCAGCTTGGGGTGGGATTCTGTGGTCTGGGGGCCCTTCTCACCCCACTGTCTCTGTCACCCTTGGCCCCAGGAGAAGGACTGCTGGAACCGGGTCGCTCGCACTGTGGACCGACTCTGCCTATTCGTGGTGACACCCATCATGATGGTGGGCACAGCCTGGATCTTCCTGCAGGGCGCCTACAACCAGCCTCCACCCCAGCCTTTCCCTGGGGACCCCTTCTCTTACCGTGAGAAGGACAAGCGCTTCATCTAGAGCCCTTGGCCCAGCCCAGCAACCAAGGCCATTTCAGGGTGTAGGGGGAGGGGGTTTGCCTTGAAAGGGATGGGCCTGCAGGGGCTGGGGGTGGGGCAGGTAGCTGTGTGGACAGGGGTGTCTGAGAGATCACCAACTCTTCCTGGGGAGGCCAAATCTCGGCCCTGAGACCTGAGCCCAGTCAGTCCTTGCAAGGCTGGGGCAGAGACATCTGAGGTCCAGGAATGGAGCGGGGAGCCCCACCTCTCAACGGTGGTTCTTTTGCAAATAAAACCTGGAGCCCCTGGAGAAGGTCTGATCATGGACATCGGCTGGGGGTGGGGCAAGGTGATTTGTGGGGAGGCAGGGGGCTGGCTTGGGCTTCCCAGATGGCGCTAGTGATTAAGAACCTACCTGCCAGTGCAGAAGATGCAAGGGACGTAAATTAATCCCTGGGCTGGGAAGATCCCCTGGAAAAGGGCATGACAGTCCACTCCAGGATTCTTGCCTAGAAAATCCCAATGGACAGGGGAGCCTGGCAGGCTACAGTCCATTGGATTGCAAATAGACAGGACTGAGCGACATAGCACACACGCCTGAAGGGGGCTGGCTTAGGGACCAGGGAGTTTGCACTGGAGCTGGCCTATTGGACCGCTCTGTGAGGGGTCAGAGAGACAAAGGCATCTTCTAGCTTCCCCCTCCCCCAAGTGGGGGTGGAGCAGGTGGGATCCTGGATCTTTCCTCCCCTGCTCCAACAGCACCCCCTCTTGCCAACCCCGAAGCCTTGGGCATCTGAGGCCCCACCTGGAGCTGAGTTTGGGGCTGCCTCTCTCTCCATGTCTACTAGGGAAGGAGTTTCTTGGCTGACATGGGAGCCTTAGGACTGCAGAATGGCCTTCCCTAGGCTTTTAAGCCTCGGCCACTCTCTCTGGGTCCCTCTGGGAAGCTGAGGACGGGTGTGGAAAGGTCATCATCATCCACAGAAGTCAGAGGTCAGCCTGCTCAGCTCAGGTCAGACGCACCATCTGAAAGCCTCGGGACTCAGCCATCCCCCCAGGGATGGGCACTTATTCCTCCTCCCAAAGTAGGGTTGCCAAGGCAAGACTTGAGACGTACATATACTTAAAAAAAAAAAAGATGATTCACTGTCTATCTGAAATTAAAATTTAACTAGGAACGCTCTATTTTATTTTGCTACATCTGCCTAAATCTGACAACTCTACCCCAAAGGGAGCCCCCACCAATCCTATCCCAAGGGCCAAATTCTTTGAGGATGTGGTTCTGTGTGGTCGCCTACCTCCAGGGTGGCCCAGGGACCCCCACCTCCTGGTACTCACACCCTGGGCTGCGCCTCCCACCCAGTACCGAGATTGGTCTCTGTGACCTATAGACTGAGACGGAAGTGATGGTGTGTCACTTCTGAGGGTAGATAGTGAAGGACATGGCAGCACATTCTTGCTCGCTTGCTCTTAGGCCCTCACTCATGGTCAGCTGGCTCTCTGACTTTGGGGAAGCCGGCTGGCATGATGAGCAGCCCCGTGGAGAGGTCTACATGACCAGGAACTAAGGCCTCCAGCCAACAGCCTTGTGAGTGACCTCAGAAGTGGATCCTCCAGCCGAGGGGGCCCCTTCGGTCACAGTGGAGCCTTCGGATGAACCCAAAAGTCTCTGAGCCAGAAGTACCCACTCAAGTGCTCCTGGGTTCCTGACCCTCAGAAACTGTGTGAAATAGTAAACGTCTGTTGTATCAATAGACAACATTTTGGGGTTACACTAGCAGTGTGACCACCTTGGGCCAACCACCCCTCATCTCTGAGCTGCAGTTTTCTCATCTGCAAAGTGTGTCTTAAGTCCGGCTCATGAGGTGTTCTGAAGATCAAATTTGCTAGGAGGAGTCACAGTAGTTACATGTGTCCTGCAAATTTAAGGGGTGGCTTTTTATCTCATTCTTCATTCATGGGCCTCAGTCACTGAGAACAGGCCCCTGGGCGCTCACAGGGGCCTTCTACATCCAGGCCTGGCGTGGTAACTGAGAGGGGACTGAGGCAGGTCAGAAAAACTCATTCTTCACCTCCTTGATGTGCAGGCTTGAGACTCACAGCTGAGCCCACATCCCTCAGAGGGAATCAGTGACCTCGTGAGCTCAGGTATATAGAAGGAAAGATGTTTAATCTTTCCATGGAACTGAAGAGAAGAGAAATTATTTAAAATCAAAATTGACCCTACTTACTTCTGCTGTCCAACATGAACCTTCCAAAAATTCAAGGTACAAATCTTTAGTTTTTACCCCCTCTCAATAGGAAAACTAGCTTAGACTTACACCTTTCAAATGAGCAGGGAGTCTGGGTCTTCCCTGGAATTGGCCACCAACTCGGGAAGGGTCTCTGTCTCATGCACAGAGATGTCTAAATAGTGTGTGTGTGTGCTCAGTCATGTCTGACTCTTTGCAACCCTGTAGACTGCAGCACTCTAGGCTCCTCTGTCCATGGTAATTCTCCAGGCAAGAATACTAGAGTGAGTTGCCATTCCAGGGGATCTTCCCAACCTAGGGACCGAACCCATGTCTTTGGCGTCTCCTGCATTGCAGGCAATGCTTTACCACTGAGCCACCTGGGAAGCCCACTCAGAGATGTGTAAGGGCGGCGAGGCTGAAATCAGATTCCTCGGCCACTGTTGTTGCTTCTGTTTGCCACACGGTGGCTCTGTTTGCGGCAAGTCTTACACAATCCAATGGCAAGGCCTCAGTGTCAAGCCTGCTCAGGTGGCTGGCTATAAACCTTCTAGAGAAGTGAAGTGAAAGTCGCTCAATCATGTCCGACTCTTTGTGACCCCATGGCCTATATAGTCATGGAATCCTCCAGGCCAGAGTACTGGAGTGGGTTACCTTTCCCTTCTCCAGGGGATCTTCCCAACCCAGGGATCAAACCCAGGTCCCCCACATGGCAGGTGGATTCTTTACCAGCTGAGCCACAGCCCCCAAATGCCCCACCCGACTAAGGATGCCTCTTGAGCAGGTTCCCAGGGTCACAGTGGGTCCCCCAACAGCACCCACTTGCCCAGCACTCCAGCCCCAGGGTGCTGTCAGGACTGGTCCACCCTCCGAGTGACATGGAACCCCATCTTCTTCCCTCCCCAGGAAGTCACACCCACAGGGGGCCAGCTTCCCATGAAGCCAGATGGAGTCCCTACACACTTTCCCCAGGCCAGCACAGCTACCCACCCTCTCTCAAAGGGCAATAAATCCATCAGGAAATGTGCTGGGCTGTAAGGAACAGAAAATCCCCAAGACTCATGGTTTAAACATCAAGGTTTCCTCTTTCTCATACGGGAAGAATCTCGAGATGGCAGCTGCTTCCCTGGCTCAGCTGCCCCACAAAGCTGTGAGGGACCCGGCTCTGTGCTCTCTGCCCAGCCCTCCCTCCTTCACCTGCTGACTTTGTCCTCCAGCCTGAAGCCTCGGGTAGCATCTTGATTGCCACAGCTCCGTACTTCACATCATCTGCAAGGCAGGAAAGGGGTCAGCCTTTTCTGACCCTTTTAGCAGGAAGAAAAAGCTGAAATCGCTCAGCTGACTTCAGCAGACACCCCATCGATGAAGAGGTCATCTCATGGCCGCCCCGCCTGCAAGGGAGCCTGGGAAATGAGCATTTTGCTTTTCCGGCCTCTGGAGGAGAAGGTGGCAGTGTTGTTAGACAGTGAGTGAGGACTACAGGAGGCTTTCTCTTACTGGGTTCCAAGCTGTTGTTTCCTGATCCTGGGAAAGATTGAAGGGAGGTGGAGAAGGGGGCGACAGAGGATGAGATGGCTAGATGGCATCACTGACTCAATGGACATGAGTTTGAGTAAACTCCGGGAGTTGATGATGGACAGGAAGGCCTGGCATGCTGCAGTCCATGGAGTCGCAAAGAGTCGGACATGACTGAGTGAGTGAACTAAACTGAACTGAAGCTGTTGTTGTTTAATCTCTAAGTCAAGTCTGCCTCTTTGCAACCCCGTGGACTGTGGCCTGCCAAGCTCCTCTGTCCATGAGATTTCCAAGGCAAGAATACTGGAGTGGGTTGCCATTTCCTTCTCCAAGGGATCTTCCCAACTCAGGGATTGAACCCAAGTCTCCTGCATTGGCAGGTGGATTCTTTACCACTGAGCCACCAGGGAAGTCCAATGGTTCCCATCCCGCCACCTTAACACCTCCAGGGCAGAAGCTGCCACTCCTCAGAGATGCCCCTAGATCACCAAGGAGACCTCCCAGAGCAGAAGTGGAGAAACCGGGAGTTAAAACCTGCATCCAGAAGAAGGAGGTACAGCTCCTACCAGAAGGAAGTCACTCTCCAGACTGTTCCTTTTTCTTCCCAGACACTTGTAGGGAAGAAAGTCAGAAATGTCGCGAATCAGCTCACCATCTATGCCTGGGGGTGGTGGAGGAGGGCGGGCAGTAGGTGGTCCATGATTATGGGGAAGACGCCATTAATGATATTTGGCAAAGCATCGTCTTGGAGGTGAGCAGAGAGGAGGAGGTGGGCTTCCCAGGTGCTAGTGGTAAAGAACCCACCTGCCAATGCAGGAGACCTAAGAGACATGGGTTCGATCCTTGGGTTGGGAAGATCCCCTGGAGAAAAGGCACGACAACCCACTCCAGTATTCTTGCCTGGAGAATCCCATGGACAGAGGAGCTTGGAGGGCTACAGTCCATAGGATCATAGAGTCAGACACGACTGTAGCAACTTAGCACAGAGAAGAGAAGAGGTTCTGCTTTGCAAAAGAGGTGACAGAATTGAGTCTGGGGAGAACCGGGGGTGAAGTGGGGAAAAGGAGCCATTGGCTTTCTAAACTCCAGGGAAAGTGGGCTACACACCTAGATGCGTGGTGAGAGTGAAGCTTTTCGGGTTGGGGACAGGGTTGACCAGGAAAACCGAGCGCGGGGTCCAGAGCAGGACCAAACGTGAGAGCAAGGGAGTTCAGGGAAGGCAGGGGCACTACTGTTACCCGCTGACCCCGAAGTCCTGGCAAGGACAGGAGGGCCTTGTGGCCCGATGCAGGGGGCTGGGATCTGAGCCAACCTCACCTGGATCTCCAAGGATAGGGCAGGTGGGCTAACTTCTGCTTCACTGTCACACATTGAAATAACCAAAGATGCCATTCACTTGGGGGGAGGAGGACACATCCTCTGATGGTGCCTTCCCTCCAGCCCTCAGAGACCTTGCCCAGCCTTCCTCCAGCGTGCCAAAGGGTGGGCGGCACGTGTGGGAACCTGCACACCTACTGGGTCATGCTGAGCTGTCTGCTAGGAATAGCTGGTCAGAAGACAGG